GAGAAGGGCATTCCCTATATATTCAGACTTCATTCCACACATGGGATTTAATTCTCAGGTTCTGAATTCCCTTCATGCATGGTGGTCTGATTTGTGATTGTGAGACACAAGATCAATTTTCTCTAACATTGGTATTTTATATGTCCCTTCTCATCTGAGTTTTCTTATAACTTCATCTCTCTTTTCAGTTATGATATTATTTGGTGTTCCCATAGCATTTTATAGCCAAGTTCCTTGTAATCATTTTTAGTAGTTGCATAACAAATTATGAGCAAAGCATGAGTCAGTACAAAACCAAAGAATGAAATGGAGCCGGGTGGAGTAGCATTCATGTGTAATGCCAGTGGCTCAGGAGGCTGAGGCAGGAGGATCATGAGTCTCAGCAACTTAGTGAAGCCCTTTCTCTAAATAAAAAAAAAAAATAAAAAGGACCAAGGATATAGCTCAGTGGCTAAGTGCCCCGGGGTTTTATCACCATTACCTGCCGCTCAATGAATGAAATAGAAAAATTCCACCAAACCTAGGTTCATAATCTTCCTTTAAGAAAATTCTACTGTATCATTTCATTTGGTCTCTGATTTTCAAACTTAAGCCTTCATTAGCCTGTTTTAGTGGGGGATAGTGCAATATCTACTGCACATATGATTTAACTTGTAACTAAACTATGAATACACTGTGTTATTCTCTACAGTTGCATACCTCTGATTCCCCATGCCAAAAAAGAAGAGGAATGGGAAAAGGGCATGTTTGAAAACAAAATGTTTCTCAAGTATGACTAACTTGAATGTAAAATTTTTGATCATTTCCCAAATGCCCATGCTACTTTGTGTTTTGTAAAACAGGTTTCATATCTCAATGCAGAAATTCTTACTTGCCTTGCTACCTAACACAAATACCTTGCAGAATAATCGTTGACACAGAGTAGTGCTCTGTAACTATTTGTTGGCACTTAGATTTTTACATTTCTTCTTATCAGGGCATTGTCTGCTCTTAAGCATAACAGTCAACAATGCCAAGTGCTATTGTGTGATTTTTCATAGTCATCTATATAACTCTTCACCTCTCTTAAGATTCAGCCATTTAACAGATTCACCAATGTGGAACACAGCTAAAATAGGAAAATAACCAATGTCTAAGAATAGAGTTTCCTATCTTCTGTTTAAGAAGGCAGGGAAATGTGATACATCTGGGAAATCTTTTTGTCACAAAAGTTTGATAAGATGCAGTACTGGAATCAAATGTAGCAAGGTAACTGTCAGCAAGTCTTTGGCTTCAGTTTTCTTATCTCTTAAATGTGAGCACAGCTTACAGTGATCTTTAAGGCCCCTTCCTACGATCCCATGATTCTCTGGCTACCTCCCTTCTTGAGGCCTGTTTGCTCATCTGTAAAATGAAAGGTGGACAAATATCAAAGTCCTAACAATCTGTGACTTTAAAGCATAAACTTTTAGCTATCCAGAAAATCTGGTTATCCAGAGGGCCATTCCTCGAGGGTATTGGTTAGCCAAGATTTTACTATACATTAATACATAGTTAAAAGGACTAATTTAATTCCTAGGAGAACATTTGGGACTGATTAAAACTGTGGAAAAGTTCTAATTCTTTATAGGGAATGTTGACTTCAGTGTATACAATTACCATCTTGTTGTTTTGTTTTTCCGTCTTTTAGGCTAGAGTTCTGTTTGGGATGAGGGTGTGTGGGGTGTGTGTGTGGGTGTGTGTGTGTGCGCGCGCGCGCGTGCATATACCACATAGGAACCTGACAATGTTAAGTTTTTCTCCTGATAGTACTAATCCCCTGTTCCTGTTCCTAAGGGCACTGTTGATAAGAAGTATTCACAGTAACACAGCAGAGCAGGTGAAGTACATTGCCAGCTACCCTGCATCCCAGCATCTGTTTCCTGAAGCAGTATCTGCTTCTGAAAGTCTGTTTGTAGAACTGGTTGATATGGATAGGGAAGAATGCAGTAACCTTTGATAGACACTCCAAAAGAGGACAGAGGGACAGAAAGGATAAGACAGGAACTTTCAGTTAGCTGCCAACCAGGGATACCTAGCCATGATCCTTTCTAAGCATTGATGGACACAAGGGGCAGAATTAAATGAAATCTTCTATGCCCAAGACAATTTTACCTTATACAACAAGAAACTTGAAACCAAGTCCCTTTTCTCTGCAGAGAGTGGCTAGGCTAGTCTGACATCAGTACTGTTTTCATCCAGGATGCTTCCCTCCCTCACAAACTTTGAGTAGCCCTGTGTGGTGCCATACTGTGTCTTAGTTTCTGCCTGGTGTTCAGGCCCCTCTAAATTCAGGCCACATATACTATGCATTCAACATAATTTCCCCAAATTTCTCAACTCTGTTCTGAAATTTCATGACCGGTATACTCTCTAATGGCTTTTGTTTATTTCATTGTCTCTACCTGAAAGATCTCCCTTTACTTCTTCTCCACCTAAATCCAATCCCTTTTTCAAAATTTAACAGAAGCCTCTCCTCATCTGTCAGCTGTTCCCTGAGCACCTTGTGCTCTACTGCTCCCAACCCTGAAAGGCCTTCACATGCTCTCAAGTTTAAAGTTATTCATATTCTGCCTCGTAGAATACATTACTCGTCTTCTGTGCAGCTTTTGGCATAAAACGGTACACACATTGTACCCTTCTCAATCCATCTTGTTTCAGGAGTTAAGGTTTAAAAGGTGGTCTTAGAGTCAATGTGTTTATAAAGAACATGTGCCTGTGTTTCAGTCTGGTGAAGACCACTAATTGTAGTGGCCATAGCAGGTCACCTCCATGACTGTGTCTCATAGCCGATTCTGGAAGGTTATTTATAAAAGAACTTTGAAGTAATTGAGCTATTGAAAATGAGTATGGAGAGTGTGTGTGTATGAGAGATTGGGAAACAGGAAGGTGGAGATTAGGGGAGGAATGGTCATTTATAGAGTGGGAGATAACATGCAGCTTGGTTGTTGAAGGTCCTGTGATGTTCATTCCCACCTCCATCTTCCTCTTTTCAACACAGATATTCCATTTATCTGACCTCAATTTCATTTATTTCATTGGAGGCAGGCCAGGCCTGCTAATTGTGATCAGTTTTAACTTATCCATAAATTAAATTCATGGCCAAGCTTTCAATGTCACTTTAGTAGATTTGCAATTTCTTTGACTATTTTAACCCCTCCTCTACTAATTTTCTTTTTGTACCTTAGGTAAACCCCACAGCCCAGTGTACCCACGCCCTGTTGAAGATGATCTACTGCTCCCATTGCCAGGGTCTCGTGACTGTGAAGCCATGTTACAACTACTGCTCAAACATCATGAGAGGCTGTTTGGCTAACCAAGGGGATCTTGATATCGAGTGGAACAATTTCATAGGTGAGCAAGCGATTAGCGTATTTGTGTTGTTGGAAATGGCTCCACTTCTGGCCACAAAGAATGTTGTAATTGCCAGCTGTGAAATTTCTGTTCATTTTAGTATTAGCTATTTAAGGGCTTGCCAGAGCAGTGACCATGCTGACCATTCTTCAAATAAAAGTTCCCTTGAGCTAATGGTGGCATATCTCATTGCATTCGATATAGTGACTACCAATTTTTAATAACTCTCTGAGAAAGTGCTTTTTTGATATTTTCTGCCTAAAGGTCAGTTTTAGTTGTATTTCATAGGTTTGTATCCATGTAAATGCTGGCGTACAGCCCTCTCAGAGCTATGAAAGTGTCTTTTCAAATGGTCTGTCACACTGCAACCAGGTCTCCTACACTTTTCCAAATACCCATTTATTCTTTGGATCAAGAGAAATATAATTATGAAAATGTAAGGGTTTTGTTTCTATAGCGGATTTAGCAATAGTAGACTGCTCTGGTGAGCATGGAAGCACCTTTGCCTGAAAATTTAAGGAATGAGTGCTCCTTCATAGGCCTTCCACTTGGGAAACCATTATTAGAACCCAGAATACACCCAACCATGGTCAGTTTCTGAGATGGCTAATTATGATTTTGTAGGAAAGACAAAATAAGCATAATTTAAATAGCCATACATCAACTACCTTGATACCTACTTATTGCATATTAGCCCTAAAACATCAATGACAGTGCTGAAACTCCTAATGGTGCATGTTAGTGGGACCTTTCACACATACTAACACCTCACAAAAACAAACTCATTTTTCCACTCCCAAGTCACATTTGCATAATTGCAGAATTTGAATGTCTTATAGGCACCTATTTTTCAGTTATTTGTCCTCATGGGAACATGTGCACAGTTTACTGCCTTTTTTTTTTTTTTTTTTTGGGGAGGGTTGTGGTTGGGGAATGCTTTTTAGTCTGCGTGAGAGCTAATTACCATATTAACTCTGTTTGAAAGTGCATCAATAAATTGGCTCCAACAGATTCTTGAGAACACTGACACAGGAAAAAAAAAGATGTGAATATTAAGCACTTCAGCACAATTGTAGCCTAAATAGCTCAAAGCTGGAAGACCTGAAAAAAAAAAATCTTCTACACACAGAAAAGCAGAATCCCATGAAAGGGAAAGCATAAGACCAGCAAATACACACAGGAACAAATGGCACTTCATGAAGCTACAGGAGAAATTGTTGCTTCCAAATATTTTTCATGACAATAATAGCTCATGGCATTTCCAGATGTAAAGTTGATGCCCCCCAGCAACACCACCTATCCCACCCTTATCCCCACACCAAAATGTCAGGTTTTCAGTTCACTTTTGCTAAGTTGGGTTTATAGAGAAAGATGGTAAGCCTTTCCACATTCCCTATAATCAACTGTTTCTCTGGGCCAAAGAATAGAATTCACCATACAGTACAAACTGCTGTATGTCAATAGCAACCCAGCTTTGCTAATTTCCTACATATACATCTGGTATGGAGAACAGAAGGGAATTTCCCTCATACTGTTCCGTTATTCTGACATGTCCAGCCACAGTCGTCACAAAAGTCCTCATGTCCTTGTATTAAAATACAAATTCTTCTGTGTATTTTTCCAAGAATTCACAAATCCATATCAAATCAGAACCATACTCTGGCTTTGTAATTAATGTTTTCAGCCAGTTACTCTTAAACAAGAAGGCCTTAGTTGCTGATGTTGTTCTTGTAGTATATTTTAAAAATCACATGTGTTATCTTGAAGAAGTACAATTAAACCCAAGTGGAAAATGATAGGATTTCTGAATTGATTTTTCCCCAATCATTTTCAGTGATACCTTTTGGAGGAATGAGGTATGTAATTGTATCTAAACTTCATTTTTAGTGAGTACACTAGTCTTTATTTCTAATAAGCTGATATAAAAGGCCAGGAGTAATAGCCATTGTTAATCTCTAGTGCTTTTTCATGAATTTTTCACAATGGTTTAATTAATCTGCTCTGGGTTGTAGAATTCAGTCCCAATTTACATGCCTCTGCTGTAAATTCTCTTTTTTTCCTTGTCGTCTTCTTCTCCCCTCTCTGCAAGGAAGTTTTCTTTCCCCTTTAAATGACTGCAGTTAATGAATGGTCAAGGGCTTTTTTTTTTTTTTTTGCCCCTTCTTTAAATCAGATCTTGGAGTTAAGTCGGGAAACTGCCTTTTGTTCTTCCAGTCAGGTCGGGAGGCTGAAGATGTGGGTTTCTGATTATTGGCAGCACAATGCAAAAGGAATTGCTTTCCCTAGTGAGAAGGGGATGCTTTGTTGCACAGCAGAGAGTGGGGGTGGTGGCAGCAACTCAATGCCAGTATCCTGAGCACTGCAACTCTGCAGTTGGACTAGACCCATTAAAAGACTAAGGGAGGATTTTCCAAGGCTGCCTTCTTGCTGCCATGCCCGCTCTGTCCTCCCAATTGCATCTGCATATTGCCATGAATGGTGACCCTTTAGTAAACGTGAACATCTTGTCCATCTTTATCAGGATTGATCCAAATAGTTGAAATATCTTGGAACTCACCTGAAACCTTCAGTTTGAAAAATAAACCAAATTCCTGCCCCCTCACTCATAAGACTCACCCAAAAAAAATCATTTCTAGAGAATCACAAATTATTCTTAGGTGCAACTTGTCCTCCATCAGGTGCTGAAGCTGTGTTACATTCATTTGACTCAGAGCCAGCCCTATTAATGTCACATGTTGCTGCCAGTGGGTATTTAGTATTGGGGTTGCTGGCAGGGACACCAGCCAGTTCCTGGCAGGAGGCAGGAGCCAGTCAGAGATCCCACAAATAAGAGACCTGTGGTTTATATCAACCAGAAGAAAACCAAAGCACCAAGCTAACCATCTTTGAATTTCTCTTGGGGCTTCTTACAAGGGCTGGTTGATGTTACGGAAGAGCCGATTGATAGCCAATCGTGACTTCCCGCAGGGGTTAGCAGCAGCTTTGGCTCCCAGGCTGTGGGGTGCAGGCAGAATGCATCCTCAGTCGCATTCTTCAGCTGCGCAACACACAACGCCATGGCACCGGCCCCGACAAAGGCCCAGCTTCACTTTCCATTCCCAGGCCCTTGTGTATGGCCGGCAGGCTCAGAGTTTACAAAGACACCAAACAGCCAGAAGAATTGGGGTTTATGTTTCCTTTCAGTCTTTCACAAACACATTAGCGATCTGGCCTTTTCTTGCCACTAGGGGAACAAGTAGTTACCAAATGCACTGTTTTTTCTTGTTTAAACCTCTGCATTTTGGATGTTTATTATCTGTCTATTCATAATATTTTTATTTGGAGCCAGCGATTTCTTCTTGGCTTACGAAAGAATGTGCTTTCTGTACGTGGCAGCCCTGATGTTTGACAATGATGAACACATTTAAGTTGTGCTCCACTTGTTTACAAAAGTCTCCTTTTGCTCATACATCAAAAGCATTTTTCTCTCTTCTAGCACAATGGTATATTCATGCTGTCAGCCTTTACTTCAAGGTTAGAAGCGTCACTTTATTGGCGCTTCCCACAATGCCATCTGAAACTTCATTTGTTATTACTTTTTTAAAAATGCATTTCATGGAAATCTATTTGTTGTTTCTGATATCAGAATTGTAGTTCAGAGAAATGAACTCACACTTTAAAATGCTGTGTAGCATTTGATCTAGGTGGAGGGTAAAAGGTTGACGACCAAATTCGGTTTCATCCATGTACTGAGCTTAAACTCCTTTCCATTAGAAAGCTCAAGTAGAAGCTCAGCTGGGGGCTGCAGTTGAGAAGGAAACACAATCTTCTGGAAAGTAGCCCTTCATTCTATTAGTTGACCTTGGACTACCTGAAGACAGAGGATCATGGGGGTCTACACTGTTTTTCTTGCCATGCATTAAGCACTAGAGTGTCAATGAGGAAAATGTAGTAAAAGTTCACTGCTTGTCATTAATAAAATGTCCTTTTTCTCTTTGGGGGGTTTCATTTCCACGTTCTTCTAATTTTTCACAAACAAGTATCAAGCAATAATACTAACCCTCCTAATCCCAGCAATCATGAATGGTAAGGAAACAAGTACAGTATAATTTGTTTAAGGGATTTGAATATTTACCAGAACATGCTAGGCTCCTCCAAAGCCTAAAAGTGACTTGCAGGTAATTGGAGGTATACATTATGAGCACACAATCTTTATGTACTCTCTTATGTTGTCTTTTCACTTGAATAAAAAAGAGGTACATGTTTTACTTTAAAATAAATTGAGGCTTTTATATTTCAAATGGGAAGTTTATCTTAACACCAAAATTGCTTTATTTGAAGTTTCATTATTTGGAAACTTACTAAAATGCCTAGAACACTTTCATTTGTATTTTTCGACTATGCACTTGAGGATCTGAAAGTTTTTATTTAAAAAAAATAAAAGCAAATAATTGGTATGCCACGATTTTAACTGATTTGTATTTTCAATATTTGTAAATGGAACCTGAAATGAAAAGATCCTAGGAAAGTTTCTGGGAGAACTGGCATGTTATTCTCCCTCAAGCCTTAGGTTTGTCAGCTGGGTGCTAGCTCAGAGCCTTATAGTGATAGCTGTTGACACATGAAGGAATAAATAATCAATATAAAGGAAGGTTCCTGATTGGGTTACCTTGCTATAGAACAAAGCATTCATCTGTCCATTTCACACTTTAAGGAGCTACTGATACTTGATGACTCAATACAGTTCGGTGTAATGGAAATAGATAGAAAAGCAAGAATTTATTATGATGAATGCCTTCTCCCACCAACCCCATGCAAGAAACAAAGGCAAGAAAATTATCAGATGTATCACCTAAGGCTGAACTAATGATTTACTTTTTATCCTGTGCTGTTCCCCAAATCTCTTATTAGATGCCATGCTAATGGTTGCAGAGAGGCTGGAGGGTCCTTTCAACATTGAGTCGGTCATGGATCCCATTGATGTGAAGATTTCTGATGCTATAATGAACATGCAGGAGAATAGTGTGCAGGTGTCTCAGAAGGTAATGAAGGCAGGATACTGAGGAGGAGAGCTGGAAGTCCCCCTGTACTCGCCATATGACTTCCCTAATATGACCACATTTATTCCAATGCAGGTTTTCCAGGGATGTGGACCTCCCAAGCCACTCCCAGCTGGACGAATTTCTCGTTCCATCTCTGAAAGTGCCTTCAGTGCTCGCTTCAGACCATATCATCCTGAAGAACGCCCAACCACAGCAGCTGGCACTAGTTTGGACCGACTGGTGAGTACTTTGCAGGGATGGACATGTTTAATGACAAAGAACTGAAAACATTTGCTCAATGAATTTTTAGTTGGAAGGCATACAAACGGTTTTTTCAGGTATAACTTTTCAAGAAAATTGTATGAAGATGGCATTTTCTAGCTCAGAAAGTTCCTATATAGTCAATAAAATAGGATGCAGTAAGTCTCATCTCAAAACTTCCCTTCAGTTTGGCTATATTTATTTACTGAGCGTCTACTATGTGCCTATCACTAGGCTACACACAGGGAGGCCCAGAGGAATAAGTCCTTTTCTCAAGAAGCCCCAACAAAGGGGAAGAGGCAGATGGACCAGGCTTTCTAACATAAGGTGATATATGGTAAATTCTATGATAGGAAAAGAGTAGTAGAATATAGGCAGATTGCTTTATACACAGCAATGTGCTATAAAAATATAAGAAAGTGTTAACATAGTTGAAGGAGGGAACACACGATGGAGAGCCTGGGGAGATATTAGTGGGTGGAGAGGAAGAGCATTAACGGCAAGTTTCCCAGAGTGGATAATACATAAGCTTGATCATGACTGTACAATCTGTGGGTGAAGAGATTGTATATTATCATTGTATCTACAGGGCACAGGGCATGGTGGGTCTGTAGTTAGGAGGTATAGTGGGCAGTGGCTGTAGGCAACTCTTTCAGAGTTTACATTTCAAATATTCATTCCTTTGTGTGATTCTGTACTTCAGGCTACAAATTTGATCTGCATATTTTTCTTCTGACTACAGTTGAAATTGAAGTGCATAGCACTCTGGAGATAGTTAGGAAAATCAGAAGGCACATCCGTAGGGAGATTTGTGTGGTTTTACAGAAGTCTTTTTTAAATGTTCCTAATTAGGTTACTGATGTCAAGGAGAAACTGAAGCAGGCCAAGAAGTTCTGGTCCTCCCTCCCTAGCAATGTTTGCAACGATGAGAGGATGGCTGCAGGAAACGGAAATGAAGATGACTGCTGGAATGGGAAAGGCAAAAGCAGGTGAGCCACCATTGAGTACTCCTCTTCCTAGGAGGCTGGGTGATCTTCAGAAAAGGGTCTCCCAGTTTATAGTGCAGGCATCAGGAAGCAGTTCAGAGTAGGAAGCAATAACATGGAAGGTTTCTAGATGTTCTTAGAAATGGGCTTTGCAGGGGCTGGGGATGTGGCTCAGTAGTAGAGCGTTCGTCTAGCACATGCAAGACCCTGGGTTTGATCCTCTGTACCACATTAAAAAAAGGTATTGTGTCCAACTACAACTAAAACATAAAATATTTAAAAAAAACAAATGGGCTTTGCAGTAGAAGTGTTGGAAAGGTGATCAGCTACTTACAAAGACTACTGGGTCAAAAGTTTGACAGTGGTTATATTCTAGCTTTAGGCTGTTCCAATTAGTCTTGTTATTTAAAAAACAAACAAACAAACAAACATGCAATCCTCAATGGCCTGGTCTCATAAAGTTCCAATTCTCAAAAGGTCTCCTCCTCTTTCTTCGAGATGGCCTGTGTGCCCTTTTCCCCACTCCACCACACACCCACACACTCTGTAACTTAGATAAGTACCCATTCTGAAGGCACTTTACTCTGATCCACCAACCTCCACGAAGAAGACAACTTTGAAAAAGGCCATGGTCAAATTAGAAAAAGAAGATACACACACAAGATAAGGAAAAATTAAAGTTCATTATGAAGAACTTCCACTTAATCGTACTCTGAGTAGATACTAGTATCTGGCAGAAATCTTGGCCGATCTGTTATCTTTTGCTTTACTGATCATCTTAATGGGGTCATTTCTCATTTCAGGTACCTGTTTGCAGTGACAGGAAATGGATTAGCCAACCAGGGCAATAACCCTGAGGTCCAGGTTAACACCAGCAAACAAGACACCCTGATTCTTCGTCAAATTATGGCTCTTCGGGTTATGACTAGTAAAATGAAGAATGCTTACAATGGGAATGATGTGGACTTCTTTGATATCAGTAAGCCTTTGCAGTTTGAAAACATGAGTTGTTCTCACATGCCTTGTGATGAGAGTAAGTGGAATGAAATCTCTTATTTACTTTTTTATACACAGGTGATGAAAACAGTGGAGAAGGAAGCGGAAGTGGATGTGAATATCAGCAGTGCCCTTCGGAGTTTGAGTACAATGCCACTGACCATGCTGGGAAGAGTGGCAGTGATAAAGCCGACAGTGCTGGTGCCCGTGCAGGGCCACAGCCCTACCTCCTCATCATCTTCTGTGTCTTGTTCCTGTTTATGCAGAGAGAGTGGAGATAATTCTCCAACTCTCAAAAAAAAAAAAAAAGTGTTCCTCATCAGAAAGTTAAAAGGCACCAATTATCACTTTTGTACCATCCTAGTGACTTTGCTTTATAAATGAATGGACAACAATGTACAGTTTTTACTATGTGGCCACTGGTTTAAAAAATGCTGACTTTGTTTTCTCATTCAGTTTTGGGGGCAGAAGGGACTTGTACTTAACGTTAAGCTGGTCCCTGCTCCTCCAAAATCATGTTAAATGTGGCTAACAGTGTAGGTACAGAACTGTAGTTAGTTGTGCATTTCTGATTTATCGCTCTATTGTTTGTTTGTTTGGTTTTTTTCCTCATTTTGTTTGTGGGTTTTTTTTTTTCCAATTACAATCTCACCTTGTTTCTTACAAGAAAACCAGGGTCATTTCTTGGCATGTAACATGTACGTATTTCTGAAATATTAAATAGCTGTACAGAAGCAGGTTTTATTTATCATGTTATCTTATTAAAAGGAAAAGCCCAACAAGCAGTAAAATTTCCATTTATCCCTGTTATTTTAGCTGCCTTATCTGGAGAGAAGCAGAGGTGATTTGGGGATTTTTGTTATTATTAAGTTAGGACAGAATGTGAAGGCACAAGTGGGTGTCTGGGCCACTTGTCAGATTGTATTCAAGCATCTGTACAAGAAGAAGGTTATACTTCATTTATAGCTGGTGATTGGAAGAGACTGCAGACTATCCATTTTGGTTGAGTTGATTTGCCTAAGACCACATGTCACTCTGTTTCATGAATCTGATGCATAGAGTGTAGCCTATCTAAAAAATTCTTGCTGTAGTCTCCCTTGAAAGATAAAAGGCATTCATGGAGTCACAGTTATCACATGTTCACACTTGGGTTTGTGGGGGAGTCTATTTTTCTTTCAATCAGGCAAGTTAGTAAACCACCCTGTACAAGTTTTCATGTCCACACTGACCTTCTTTAATTTTTTATCCCAGGGGCAGCAGTAAGTGACCCACATTCTCATTTGGTGCCCCCTTGTCAGAATGATCCAAGTTTCAAACCCAGCTATATAAGGAAGTTTTCTGGGAGCTAGCTAGAATTGGGGTACAGCCTGGGCTCAGGGAATACCTGTCAACACTCGAGCAAAGATTTTTGTCTGTGCATGTGTATTTGCATTTATTTTTGGATTCCATTTTTTAAGTAATTGTGTCTGATTTGAGCCTTTTTTCTTGCCCAGCCCCCTCTGATCAGTAAAGCAAGGACTTGTGGTTTGCAGCTATTTGCTCACCATACTAGCCAAGGAGCCCCCTCAAGGGGGGTGTCCAGATTTTTTTCATGTTTTTTTGGGGAGGTGGGGAGGGATGGGAGTAGGTAGAGCTAAGAAGACCATAACTTAGGTGTGACTCTTAGCCATGTGGGTGAACTGGCAAAGGCCATATCTGTCGTCCCAGGCCAAAGACTGACAACTGCCTTGCCCCCTTAGGACCCCTTTCCTTGTGTTTTTACCAAATGACAGCTCATAAAACTATGAGAATGTAACAAATCACTTTAAAAGGGGTGCCCTTTCAGAAAGACTGAAATTCTGCAAGTCTCTTCCTGCTCTACACAGCCATTAAGATCCCAGGTGATTCTACAGAACCGAAAACCCACAGAGAAGTCGTTTGTGTTATTGTTCAATCTTCAGTTGTAAGAGTAATTCTCTATTTTTATATTGAAACATAATTACTTGATAGCTCAGGGTCTACATTTCATTCAACTTTTTACACCAAATTCTGCAGAATGGTCAATAAAATATTGGGGGCTGTTGTAAACAGAGGCTTAATTTTATTAGAAGTAGCCAGTTATTTATTAAAGCATGATGTTAATAAAATAGGCATATTCTGGCTGGTGTGTATAAGTGTTTTTTTTTTTAACAAATCACAGAGGACATAAAATTGAAAAGGCACTCCATTTATGTATGAGGAAAAATAGATTGTAAATAGCTAAGCTGCCTTGAGAGAACTTGGAAAATGTGCTGATACTTAGTAACTACCTCAGTTGTGAGGAATTTCCTTTTTAGCTTAGACTGCTATTACTTTTACTTGGTAGAAATGAATATGGTCTCCAAAATATGGCTCAAAGAGTTATCCCCATAGACCTTGTTAGATTGTTTTTAATTTAAAACCTTGAACTCTGTCCAGCTGTTTTCTTTCAGTCAAGTTCTCTAAACCAATAACATTTTCCGAATTAAATATTCTTGAAGGTTCTTTTGGACTCTTACTGATTTGTTTTCTTTCTGTGCATTTTCCCCTGTTATCCTTTTATTATTTAAATTGTCTCTTGCTTTTGAACTTGAACTATGAAATAAACAAATCATAGATTTTTCCATTCAGGTCTGACTGGATAACTCTTGGCTTCTAACCAGCTGGCAGGCATACCCTCACCCCCCCAAATAAAAGAATAAAGGCAAGTTGAATGTTTTAAAGCCTTAAGAGTTTGGAGTATGAGGTAGAATAAAAGCCTTGTTAGGAGAGGACCTAACTTCCAAAGTTAATAGCATGCGAATGGGTTGTGTTTTACAAAGTAATTTATAAATTATTTTTCTTTCAAACACTTCACCCACTCTGTACCTTCAGAAAAAAAGCATTTTATGACTCTTAGATTTATGTTTTATTTTAAAAATAGTAATTAACACCTTTTTTTGTGGTACTGGGGATGGAACCCAGAGCCTGTGCTCGCTAGGCGAATGCTCTACCACTGAGCTATAGCCCTAGCCCTAACACCTATTATTTTTTAATAAAAGAAAAAGAACTGCAAGTATTTGATTGGCACTTTTAAACTTTAGAGTGTTAGAAACCTAACAACAGTTTACATGAGTAAAAATTGTCATTTGTGATCACAGAAGCAAAATTAAAATAGGTGTATAACGCTGCTACTCAAAATTGTACTTCCTCTTTTGTGTTAGCAGAATATGTCTACTTATATAACTATTAAAGAGTAATAATAACAGCAGTATCAGCTAGAGGTGGTTTTGTGTGTGTGTGTGTGTGTGTGTGTGTGTAATCTCACTATTAAGCAAATATGAAAATACAACTTCCTACCTTTTTCAAAATGAGACAAACTCCAACTTCAAATTTAGTGGAGAAAATGTAAATCTGTTTTCCATGATATACTTTAGGAACACAAGTTTTTCTATATTTAAACTTCAAATTCTTCTAAAAGTCATTTTGAAGAAAATCCTTTGAAAAATATCTGAAAGATAACATGGCAATAGGATTCAAGTCCATCACTGAGACAAAGGGCATAAAATATTTACTTGTCTACTTAAGTTTTTTAGTTAAGTAATATATTGATAGGGTTTTAAAGCCAAAACACATGTATCCACTGGCCCAGTTTCCCCACATTCCAAATCAGTGTTTTAATTGCCTGTGTATGTCATCTCTCAAAGTTTCTTTATGCATTTGCAAACAAATCTCAATATTGATTTTTCTTCTTTTTTTATACAAAAGGTAGTCTTTTATGCACTGTAATGTCCTATTTCTTTGGGTTACTTAAAAAGGAATATTGGAAGTAGGAACCCCTAAAGATACAGATGTATAGTTCAGAATGTAGAATTTAGTTTAGAATTCTATTCTAAAGCTTACCTGCTTGAAGGATCACAGTTTGATTTTTTTTTTTTAACTGTATGCTAGCCCAGATTAATCTAGGTAGTTTTTCAAGAAACATTGACCAGAATAAGGAGAAGTTTGGAATTATGGTGCCATAATCCCAGACTGTAAGTTGAAAAGCCCTCCATTTTTGTTAGTTCAGTCTTTGTTATTCATTTTCCTATTGTTCCTGGGGAAGAAGACATTGACCAAAGCCATTGGGAAGATCCTCTTAAAGCAGCACATTAGTATCACTAGGAATACTTGGAAATAGATTAGAGGAGCTGTTCTGACTAGGAGTGTATGGCATATTCTTTTAACCCAAAGTACTATTTATGTGTGTGTGGGGGGGGGGATTCTGGGGATTGAATCCAGTGGCACTCCACCACTGAGCTACATCCCCAACCCTTTTTGGTTTTTTGAGACAGTCTTAATTAGTTGCTGAAGCTGGTCTTGAACTTGTGATCCTTTTGCCTCAGCCTCCCAAGTGCACCACCACCCCTGGCAAGCATCAAGTACCCTTCATGCTTTCTGTATCCTGGAGGCCTCAAAGCAGCATCAGCCACCACACAAAATGGAGATGAGACTATTAGGAAGCTGTGTAACTAGATCTTGGTGACTGTGAATTTTCTGAGCAATGGGAAGGAATTATCAGAATATGCAAGTAATTTTTCCAAGTTCAGTTTTTAGCTGGTTGCAGTGGTGCATGCCTATATTCCCAGTGGCTTGGGAAGCTGATGGAAGAGGATCACAAGTTTGAGACCAGCCTAAGCAACTTAGTGAGACCCTGTCTCAAAAAATAAAAGGCTGGGGAAATGATGAAGTGCATCTGGGTTAAGTCCCTAGTATAAAAAAATATATATACAAGTTTGGTTTTCAGGTTTGAATTTGAAGGATCAGTATTTGAAGAGACTTCTGTGTTCACCACTAATCCATGAAATCTGTACAAGTCCATTTCTTAGCCTGCGGATCTACCTGTGCCATTAAATGCACTTTTCACTGTACTATTGGCATTTTGTTTTTTGAGATGCAGGTCTCTATGTTGCCCAGGGTAGCCTTGAATCCTGGTCTCAAGTTATCCTCTTGCCTCAGCCTCCCAAAATAGCAGGGACTGTAGGTGGGTACCACTGCACCTGGCTTTTGACATTTTTAACTGGTAGAAATTTTGAAAATAAGAAAAAAAGCATAGGGTGGTTGGAAAGAAAGAGATCTTCATGCATCAATCCTACCAAGTAAAATCTGATAAAAAGATAACTAGTATGGTTCCAGAGTAAAGATAAAGGCACATGTGTGATCATCCAAGAGGGTCCATATTATTCTGAATCCTTGCTTTTTTGCATGTTAGTGTTAAAAGGCATCTATGGATACACAGGCACCTTCAGTACATACATGTATTTATTTATTGTGTATTTTCCAACACTTAATCCCAGATAGGCCTTACCCTGTCACTTATGGGCTACCTTTCCCTAGCTGTCAATGGTGTATGCTTAGGGAATGTAGACTAATTTTAATAGTAGCCTAAGGGAAACATAATTAGGAAGGTAAGTCTGCCAGGAAAAAAATACATATAAAATGCATTCCATAGTCCAAATAGAATTTCTTAGACTTACCACTGCTTAGGATTTGCTGACTATAACCTACTGTTGATGGTGACTCACAGTACAGGGCATTTTGGTGCCAGGTTGTCCACAAAGACATAATCATGGTCAGTGGCTGATTTTCACAACCTTCTTTCAGTGCATTTGTGTTTAAAAGCCCTTTATGTCATTGTTCTTACCTCTTTTAAAATGGAATGAAAATGGTTTTTACTCTGCTGTTTCCAGGCTGAATACTTTGCAACAAGCTCTGGTAGCAGCAATAAACAGTCATTTAGACACATTTTATTGTGAAAAGAAAACAATAACAACAAAACACCCTGAGTTATTTGTTGTTTATTCACCTGTAAGATCCTGAATGAGAAGTGAGTTGAAAAGAACTGTGTGCCTGGCACTAGGGCCAGGCCACATTGATTATCTCGAACAACCCTGCAGAGTAGGATTCACTCCATTTTATAGATGAAAAAAAGGTTGCAATGATATTCCATGTTGTCTGAATCATTTGGAAGTGACAAGGCTTGTCAGGCTTGCCACCTGTATAGCTGCCCTGGCCCTAAAGAAGGGTCAGATGAGTGGCCATGAAAGGCCCAGGTTGACTGGGCTGACCTGAGTCTAGGCGAAGGAGTCAAGGGCCATCAGGAGACAGCTTGATGATGGAAAGGGTTTCCTTGCTCTGTCAACTTCAGAGCTGAAGGAGCTGATCATGTATGGGGCCTACGTGCTAAATGGCATCTATGTGTCAATTCTTGAAGAAATGATGTTAACTCCAGTGATCCTGTCCACTCTATGTAGGACAACATCATTTGACTCTGTGAAAGATCCCAGGGGTGCTCTGGCAGCTGCAGTTCTGGGAGAGGCTCAAGTCACTTAACATTTAAGCAACTGCCATCTGCTGAGAAAAATACCATTGTTTATATAGGGAAAATTCATACCTGCTTAATCAACTGGGGCTCTGTGGAGAGGTAAATATATCTCGGTATAAGTGAGACCCAAGAAACATGATCTGGGCTTCTTAAAGGGCCCTTGACAAGATCCCATCTTAAAAGCTACACCTGGGTCAGAGAGTGAACAAAAAAAGAGAAAAACAGGCACTACTCTAGAGAGGAGTCTAACAATAGAGTTATGCTGGGCTGGCTTTAGCGAGCAGTAGAAGAGACAACACTTAAAGATCAATCTTGTGCTTTAGAGAGAAAAGATTTTGACTTGTCATTTCCTACCCAGAGAAGAAACTAGGCACTTTCATTGGTTTTCTAAACACATGTACCAGCATTGCCATCAGACAGTAGGTGCTGAACAAAATGGCCAAGATCCTGATCTCAGGAGACTCTGGACTCTAGTGTTAGACTTCTACCTTCTACCGGGTCCAGGGAGGAGCAGTAAGATCACTGGGGACTTCAGGGCTCCACCTCACCAGTCTGCAATGAGAAACAGAGGCAATGCATCTCCAACTTCTAGAATCAGGGACTGTGCCCCTTAGAATGAGTAAATGATCCATTTTGAATAAAGAGAAGTTCTGCCTTATTCAGTGAGTGATGGCTTAGGTGATTGGGCAAAAGGAAGATCCTGTAGGTAGATGAGGATCAGCTGATAGTGAATAGAATCCCTGGCAAGTATGAGTGCTGTGGGGTGGGAGGCAGCATCTGAAATGGCAGTCAAGAGATTGGGATTAATGACTGCCTCACCCTGTTTCTTGAGCCATCAGCCTACATGTAAGCCAGAGCTGATGGATCCTTGTATGATATGTATTGCATAGTTTGTCCACCAAGTTCCCTTTTGGAGAATTGTAATTGATTTCCTATCAAAGAATTTGAAGGCCCTAGATCCTTGGCATACTGAAACACAAGATGAAGTGTCCAGAGAGCCCAGTCTTTGGTTCACGCTGTGGATGTATGGGCTTCCAAAACCATATGGAATTTGAGGCACTATTAAAATTTCTGACTTACCCTGGTTTCTGTGTGAGAGGGAAGGAGGTAAGACACAAGTAAGATGGAGTCTCTGCCCCTAGGAAGCTCATCATCTTGGACACAGCTCCCCAGGAGACCTGCTAGTGAATGCACATGCTCTTAGCTGGCCTGCAGGTCAAGGGCAAGCAGTGTACACTGGAATGGTCACCATAACTTCCTGAGGGAGGCAAGGCTTCTCAAGCTAGG